AAGAAATAATTTATAGAACAAACTAGGAAACAGATAGTTAACGCCGAAAAAGCTGTTAGGGAAAATTTTGTAAGAACACTTAGGGCCGATTTCACCAACGCAGTTAATCATGATTAAAGTTAACCGGAGTTTTAATCGGCCGAATTTGGCCGGTTAAATATCTGTTATCAGCCGATTAAGCGTTAACCGTGATTAACTGTGTTGGTGAAATCGGCCCTTAGTTTAACAGACCAGATAGGTATCACGCCACGAAAAAGTGAACAATTCGTAGGTCGGACCCAAACGTTGTTCATATTAGCTTAGAAAAAATAGAAAAGAAGAAAATAACTAACATAATGAGTAAAATGGATTCAGATAAAGCAATTGCTATGATACCAATTTGCACAGGCAAAAAGGACGTAGCTGAATTTATAAATATTTGTGAAATCGCACTTAAGAGACAACAGAAGCAGAAACACCAATATTATTAAAAATAATAACTTCAAAGTTGACAGGGAACGCTATTTTGAAGTAACGAAATATCGTAATTTAGAATCATGGGCAGTCATAAAAACTTCTATATTAGAATGCGCGTTTGAACAAAAAATATCAGAAAGGGCTTTGTCTATAGGGCTGAATACGGCACGTATGGCCGAAGGAGAAAGTGTGGCGAAATTCGCTAGTAGAATCGAAGAGCTTTACTATAAATTATGCGCGGCAAGTACGGTAGGTCTAACTACGGCCGAGGCAGATATATTGAACTATTGAAGAAACACACAAAAAAACAGGCTATGATAATATTTATGACAGGGTTACCTCATCAGAGTCACCTCATCAGGGCTACCTATATACAGTATTGAAAAGTCGAAATCCCAGTACCCTGGAACAATGTTTCAAAATGCGATCGATGAGATGCTTGAATATGAGTCGAAAGTGGAGATGGACAAATTACAGAGACAATTACAGAAATAATTAATAACGTGCTTTAATTTCAATAATATGATATCGTGATTGAGAGTGAATGTTGCCGTTGTATGAGCAGTTGTGGGCTGGATAAGCGGTGGATCAGGGGGGACAATATTATATTTTATGATATTTACGTTGCATATATTATGTACCTATAGGTACAAAAAATCGGACTTAAAAGTACTTGAACATTTTTGGTTGTTACTTTTAAGCTGGATAGATAACCAATCTTCTTGCGAGTTCCCATCTACACAATATTTCTCATCGATTAATATCTTATATTATTATATTAATTTTAATTTTGTATCTAGGTACCTATTTAATAGCCAAAAAGCATATATTTTTTACTAAAACAATTATATAAATGTTTTACCTAAACATTAACACATTATTTTATTAATATTAACTTAACTAAATTTAACACATAATAGTTCTACCAGATGATTATTAATACCTGGATTTATACTATTGAGCTCGTACCTACCTACTTAATTTCGGCACTCAAATGTTGATAACGTTTTATAACGGTCCTTTTATGTAAAAAGATTGCACCACTTACGGAAAAGATGATTATAATATTGAAGAAAGATTTCGGAAAGTTTACAAATTATGCTCTTATATCTATGACGTTCCGTCTAATTTAGTGATACATAATATTGTCGACACTATACTGCTCGTCCTGGCCCAGCGGGGAACACGGGTTCTGCCTGTATATAGACCAAAAGGGTTGTGTCAGCACATTCCCGTCCTCGCTGAGCGATTAGTTCATGGTGTTATTGCGCATAATGAAATATTTTATTATAATAAATAATGTTTAAAAGGGTATACTACATTATACATATTACATTACTACAGTATTACATGATTATCAGTGGCGTATATTAGCTTATCGCGGGTACGACTCTGCGCGAGTGCGCGACTGCGACATCTCACTTCTCGTCCATACTCCACTCCGTCCTTTAATTATTAAAATTAAAATAATTGTTATGTGTATTTATTATCTTTGCTTTCCCTTTCTGTGTGAATAATTATTTATCAACGTCTGCTTCATATTATTATCATTTATTCGTATCACTAGGTATTATGTTAAGATTTGTATTGTTTACTTATTGTGGCCAACGCCCTTGTTGTTATAAATTTTTCTGCTGTTAACTCATATTATATATCGTCTCGTTTCCGCTATTGCAGCGCATACCTTTTTTTGCGTCTGTTAAGTTTTTGGTTCAGTACCCTTTTGTCCCTTTTGGTACACACACAAAGTTAGGGGGCTATTAATATTATTGTAAAACCTGTACCGTATGTGGTCCATGTAACCAGGCATTTATTATTTCTTTGTATTGTCATTGTGACAAGAACTTAAGTCGTTAATGAAACGACACCATTATTATTATTTTTAAAATAATTACTCTTCATTACCAATAGTAAACTGTGAGTTTTTATATTATATCATTAACATTCTGTGTGTAAGTTGCCGCTGCCGTGTGTTCGTGTCCTGTGCACATCAACTTCGCCCAGTGCGACAGACGGATCGTTGCTTAAGTCCGCCAGCAAGGTGTACGATGTGTAAAAGGCCGTCTAGGACATCGAGACCAGCATCACCCTCAAATTTCTGTCAATTCATGACACCAGCTTGTATAATATATGTTTATATATTATACTTACTTAGTACATTAAGTTAGTCATTAAGCTACACTACTATTATAATTGTATATACCCTGTGGTCATTGCACCAAACCGGATCGACCCCAGTGCCCATAATTAACTTGCATTGTCCTGAGTACCATCTACTTCATCTCCCATCATCGACACAGTGTCGTCGTCGCGTGAAAAGGTGTTTAGTATCAGTCGCTCAGGCGTGTGTATGTAGTGCAGGGGCGGAGTGGCCGGTCGGAAAATGGGAATTTTCCAGATGGCCTATACCATATTATGGCCTGGTGACTTGGTCATTTTATATTAGATTTTATTTACAAAATTAGTACATGCGTCGACAATGTTTTTGTATTAAAACTTTGAAACTATCAAATAAGATTTTGGAAGGGGGGCAAAGCAAAAAGAAAACGGCAACCGTCCTATTACTTGATAAACACAAAAAAATTAGAACATTAAGATTGTCAATGTAAAACCAATTAAAAAGAGCACCAATTTTTCAACAGCTGTATACCTACTGATTATTTGTAAAAATAAACTCCGAAACACGTTCAAAAATATATTTTTACATTGAAATTTGGAGAATGATTGGAAACACAATGGTAACACGTTTAGGTAAAAAATTTTCAGACTCAACAACTGAATGCAACTTTTGGGTACATCATGTTTTTAAAATAATACCACATTTGAGCACCAATGCGTATATAGGTTTACACCGTCACATTATTTTATTTTTTAGTGTATTAGCGTTACCTAGGAGACACTTCGGGGAGGTTGTTGCATAATCGTTTCCCCAATTTTTTTTTTGAAACTAATTTAAAAATATTTGTTTACTTCATAATATTATATTAAATCATTGGGTCATTACAAAAATACTAAATCCACTTAACTCAAAAATCGTATTTGATTTTATTAACTGCTATCTTATTTATTATAAAATTTTATTTTTTCCCGATAGGTATAACGTGGACCGCGATGTCATAAATATTTCCTAATATTATTGTCAAGTTTAAATTTATTATTTTAGATTCTGAGTGAAACGATGAATGTATTGATTTTCCAATGATGTGTGTTTTTTTTTTTTTTTTTTTTTTTATTTTTTTTTTTTTTTTTGTGTCTTTCATCACGTTTTAGGACAGTAAAAGTGCTTGGATTTTCTCAAACAGTAGCTTTTCTGATAGGAAAGAGAATATAGTTGGTACTTTGGGGGGTTAAAAGTAAAAATTTCTCAGTAGTTTTCACAAGCGCCGGGAAAAAAAACATAAAAATTAAGGAAAAACGGGAATTTTTACGCAAAATCGGTTTTCCAAAAAATAGATGATAATATTATAATATTGAAATATAGGTAACTGTGAGTGTGCAAATGCAATAAAATAATTTACGCAGTTCAAGCAATATAATTTATTACAATTTTATTAATTATTATACATAGTAACTATAATATATTGTATATTTCCAAAATATGTAGTTATAACTTATATTATTATAAATTATAATATAGTTATAGTATATAAATATAGGTACCTACTCGAAATGCGTATACTCCATTGTATTCGGTGAAAGCAATTATCGTAATTACGTGGGAGAATTTGTCAATTTCGTTTGGGAAATGTATATACCCTCCCATAAAACATTTTAATTACGCCCCCGGTAGCTTTAACTTCGAAATGGACTGTTTATATTGTATAATTGCGTGTAAATTCTATGAATGTACCAATTTGGAAACATTTTAAAACGATTTTTCTATGTATCATTATATTTCCACTCTGCTTGATCGGTGGTCCGTATTTTTATGGACCGGACCGGACCAGTGAATTTTAATTATGATTTATGACCAAGACTGGACTGGATCTTTCTATATTTAAACGGTTGAAAAAGACTGAGGCCCGGGCTATACGCGGCGTATTCCGCATCGTTTTCCGCAGCGTTTTCCGTCGAATTAAAAAACGCATTAGTTTAAATCGGAGCAGCTATACACGACGGACGTAATACGCCGCGTTTTTCGGGGCGGCAAAAAACGCCGTCCGGCTTGCGTTTTGCGTATTACGTCCGTCGTGTATAGCTGCTCCGATTTAAACCAATACGATTTTAATTCGACGGAAAACGTTGCGGAATACGCGGCGTTTAAAACGCAGCGGAATACGCCGTGTATGGCCCCGGCCTCAATTCGGGACGTTTTAAAACAATAGAATAGATACTATTTTTACACAAACATTATGTTATATGAATATATATAATATATATATCATTCTTGTTTATTATTTTTTAATATACATTTTCACAATTTATTAGGTTGTTTTAAATTTTTATTTTTAAGGCAAAATGGCTGTTTCCCCGTTATTGTACAAAGCCCCCCTGACGAACGACGACAATTATTCAACAATGGCCCACTGCCTGAATTGTCAAACATGACTCGGATACTCAATGCATTTTATCCGGGCCCACTGACCAACTCCATCAAGTCTCAACCCGAGAAAGCATACCACACCGGCACCTTGTTTTCATTGTATCCAATATATTTTGACGCCATCGTAGAGTACATCCATGATTGCCTGAACAACATCAATAAGTGCCCTGGCGGGCGTAGCAGCGACAAACAACAATCCGCCGGATACAACTCAATTTACCTGTTGTCAAGTATACTTTAACCTTCCACTTTTTTGCTACGCAACCAGCTCTCTTTTATTTAATATTCGTTCAGACATGTTACAGTGTGGCGGGGTTGGTAACCCCGAGGTCCGTTGTATTCAAAAAAAAAAAATTAAAATATTTTTGCTTAGAGAAAAAACTATACAAAACAATCATATTTTGCGCAGTGCACGGGTATCCAGTAGACCCGGAACGAAAAAATACCATATTAGCTGTCATGTTAGAGTATAATTATTATATCCATATTAATTATTCTCATAATCCCCAAATTTTATCATATACAAATGCATTTGCCATGTTGCCCCCAATTATCATATTCCCATGACTAATATTTTATATTATTATGAACAATGAACCCCCCCCCCCCAAAAAAAAACCTATTATATTATATTGTTTGTATGTTTTTGATGCCACGTAAAATAAAACCACTTAATTACCTTTAAGAAAACTCTCTTTTTGTTATTATTTGAAAAATTAGTATCACCTATTCTCAGATATAATTTATTATTTTCGTTTATTATAATGCAATAAAGCATATATTTTTTTTTTTTCATACGGCGTAACAAAGCCTATGAGTCCTACTGACGTGTCCTTAGGGTCACCACGCGATATACGGCTCACAGGATACCACGAAGTGTTCCTCTTACGTGATGATTGCGTAGTAATAGCTCCTAAAAAGGCCGAACCATCAAAATCAAAGTCACAACTGCAGAAAAAAAAAAAAGTACTTTCTCTTAAAAATGTCTTACGTAAATTGACCTGACAACAAAAATACAAAATTATATTCAATATTCAAACAATGTTAAAATTGTAATAATAATATTATAAAGAATATGATAATACATTTTTTTAAAGATTCATTAACATTATGATAAAATTGCCATAGTAAAACAATTATGGTTCCATAATGTAGTTTCATAACATTATAACTAAAATATAGCTCTTTAATATTCCACAAAAAAATGAATGTTTTAGATATTTTAATAATATATTTATATTCAGAAAACATTTTCACAAGTATAAGGAAATATAAAAATCAAATATTATATTTAAACAATAAGCTGTAAGTTAAATTATATAATATATTAATATATCATTCTTGTTGATTCATTTTTATTTTAAATTAACACAATTTAATTAGGTTGTTTTGAATTATAAATTTATTTTTAATACGAAATGTCGCATGTGTCAAACTGTCAAGGCAGTTGTGTATAATATTATGTTCTAATTGCATCTGAAAAAAATGTTTATAACTTTTATTTAAGGGGGCTGCAATGTAGCATATTTTAAGGAGTACTATATAGGCAATTCATGTGACATATAAATTAATACTGCATCTATGTGTGAGTAGTAAATGGTGACTGGTCAAAATATCTTCGAAATAATATCCTTAGTCAAAATATCTTGTGGCAAAATATCTTACGGCAAATATGTCTTTAGTCAAAATATTTTTTAAGCTAATTTTTTAATTTATATTCATGTAATCAATTAATCTCTATATACTCAAATATACGTCGGAAGACCTCCGGTGGTATGTATTGTGAGCAAAGTGTTACAAGAGGTATTTATATATTTCATATTATTTAATTTATTTAATTAATTACAAATAGTCCAACACGTCGTAGAAAGTACAGAGATCATGATAAAAAAATAAAAGCAATCGTGGAAAATTGCTCTGAAATACCAACAGTTCAATATTTAAGAGGTATATCGTATATCCTATAATGTTCAATATTAACTAATCACTAATTTTATTTTAAATAATTAATTTTTCAACTATAATTTTTTCTATGTTTTTTTTTACAATAATATTTTTATAAGGATCATACTAATTACTAACACTATATTATTAAACAATTATTATAAATAATGTTGTAGGTACACGATATATTTATAAAAATAAAATAAATAAATAATATGAATAAACATTTTTAAAAAATCTGTTAAAAAAATATTTTAACCGAATACATTTTTGTCATAAGATATTTTCACAAAAGATAAAATTTTGATCAAGATATTTTGACTGAAGATATTATTTCGAAGATATTATGACATGGAACCGTAGTAAATGAATATTAGTGCGCGTAATCCGTTATCGTTTCCGAGAATAGCTGTCACGCCGGAAGCAACTCTCACACGCGCACGCTCATGTCAAAACTTCGCGAAAAATGAAATATATTCTAGTTTGCATGACTATAAAAACTACTAAAAGCGTTAGTAAATTAATCATACTTCCCGAAGTTCGATTGTAATTTTGAAAAATTGGTTGAATTCACAAACTTCTAGAGTCTAGACTATGCTTCTTAGGAATCATTTTTTTTACTTAAAATCATATGTGCCCAAAATAAATGCAAATGTAATGCAATTATTTCATTGGATTTATAAAAAAAAAATGGTTATTTTAAGGTTGTTTTAAATTGAAAATTGAAAATCGACTTCCTAAGAATCCTAGATATTTTATCAACGAATTTAAACATGTATATACAATTTAAATCGGACATTCCCAAGTATGTGTAATTTACCACCGCTTATTGGTCTAAAACGTATGAAAAATACGTGTGTTGCAGCCCCTTTAATTTAAATGTTTAAAATATATATAATTTGTTGGTAGCTATATCATTAAAATAATATAGTATTATAATTTATATTTTATATTTATTTAACACAGATAACATTTAATTTATACTATAGATACCTGCCTATTTATGTTATAGACAGATACAATTTATGGTACCTACACATTGTAAATAATTTACTTTCCTACATCAAGACTACAATATACGATTGTAGTTAATTAAATTAGTAAATTTAGTGCCATTATTGTGATCTTCTTTACTAGTAATTTTTTGATTAAGGAGCAAATTATTGGCAACCTAATTCACATATCGTTACGTGTCTCAAGATCTCGTGAGTGTGTACTGTTTAGTAGACAGTGTAGATGGCTAGCCCACGCACTCGCAGGTACATGTCAGAAGGTAACAAAATATAACGAAATATTAGTTGGCTTGGTCGTTTCGGGTGTTTCAGCGGACAATAACAACTTCAAGGGAATATAAATAACTCGTGGACAACTGAATATTTTCAGATAATTTCTTTTTTAATTGATAAACAACAACATTCTACAGCCTGCATTGACCTCAGATTTTTTATTTGATTTTAAATAATGATATAAAATAATTTGTAAATCAAATATCAATGCGTCCTGTAGAATATTTTCCACTATCAATTAAAAAAATTAATTAAATTTATTGATCTTACAGTGCACATTATACTAAGGAGCAAATTATTGGCAACCTAATTCACATATTGTTTCGTGGTCTTACGATCTCGTGAATTTATACTGTGTAGTAGTGTAGATGGTCTGATTTTTACGCTCACGCACTTGCAGGTAAATGTCAGGAGGTAACAAAATAATATAACGAAATATTAGTTGACTGTTTCGGGTGTTTCGACGAACACCTGCTTCACGGGAATAAAATATTGAAAGCCAAAGTTTAATGCGCTCTGTAGAATATTTTCCTATATCAATTAAAAAAAAATAATCAAATTTGATTGATTTTACAGGGCAGGATCACTATTCCCGTAATGAGTGTTTTTGAGAACAAAATCACATTAGCACCGGGTGCGTTAAAATTAAAATCTATTTCTATATTTTAATAGCAATTTTCAAATATTAGATACCTACCCTTTATTTAGATACATATTGTATAGTACTTCAAGAACCTGTAGAATTAATAAGACTAAATTATGCATCATAACTTTGACATGCAAAATATGAGATAAGTAAATTATTTTTCTATACATATTAAACGTTAGTATGATGTTCTAATTTCTATTAACTGAATTATATCAGTTCTCAAGAATTAATTATTTGAAATATAGTCCCACCTATTGTATGTAGGTACTTCATTTTAGGGCTATACCTATTAGGAAAGTCTAATAAGATATTGAGAAAAAATATTTGTTGTTTTACATTTGTGAAACGGTGACAACACATGCGGGTGTAACATCCTCCTAATAATTAAATTTACTTATATTACTAGTTAATGTTTCTATTATGCATATTTATTATGATATATTATAGTATACGATGTGTTAGATAATATGAATGTTATGAAATTTAGATCTTAAGACGGCATTGATATTTTATTCAGATACAAATTCATATTAGTCTTTACTTAAGGGGACATCACACCTGCATGTGTTGTATCTGTATTACAAAAGTACAACATTGTACATTTTACATTAACTGTAATCTATTTTACTCTGTTGTTTAAAATTAGAGTGAATTGAATTGGATTTTATTGTTATTTATATTTTTTAATAAGTTATGATCATTTTAAAATGTACAGTTTCAAAAAGGTTATAACTTGGTTCTTTAAAATAATATCAATAAAATCATCCAAGACATTGGTCCCGAAGTTTTTAAAATGTGGTCGGGACTTTTACAAAACTTGACGGCCTCAATATCTTAATTATTTAATGAATACTTAAACACTAATATACATTTACTCATAATCATGGCTTAAATATAGGTACATGATGATCATAATAAAATTATAATGTTAATAAAATGTGGCATATCAGCCACGTTTTTTGAAAAAGAGGTCGGGCCACGGGCTGACATTAACATGAATTTTGGCTCCACTGCTCCGAGATGCCATAGAAATATAGAATATAGATAATAATCTTACCGTTAAATTTTATCATGAACAAATTCACTCTAATTTTTAAAAAAGAAACAGTAAAATGGATTATTGTTAATGTAAAATATGCTGTGTTGTACGTATGGCAAGAAACAACATAATATGCAGGTAAGTAAAGACTTATATAAATAATATGTACTAGGTACCTATCTGAGTAAAATAAATGTTTACAATATATACATATATATATAAGTATTTTCATTTATGTATAAACTTTTTCTGATAGTTAAGTATAGCATTTACCAGTTATTATTTATTAAATTAGTAGGATGGTGTACAAAAAATTCTAAAGT